ATAATAATAATAATAATAATAATAATAATAATAATAATAATAATAATTATAATAATAATCATCATCATAATAATAATAGTAATAATAATTTTAATAATAATATTTACAAGTTCTATTAATCACGATTGAAATCAACACACAATGATTTATTGCGATCTTAATTATAGGTCCGATTGACCATCATAGATAGAGTTTAAAAAAAATAGTAAAATATTATATAAGTACAACCTGTATGAAAATACAATAACATGACACATGCTTGGTAACAACAACTATTGTAGGAACTTGGTGGAATTAAAGTGAAATCATAATGTTTTTAGTTTATATAGGAGCACAATTTTGTAAATATTTGTGATTATTTTTTTAAATTTTACCGTTGTCTATAGTAGGCAATCGAATGATGTTTGTTTTTCCAAGCCTCTGTTTTTTTTTGGAAATGTTATGCTTCAAATAATTTTTAGAAGTCTTTAGAAAGACAGTACCTACTATATTTTTTAATGTTTTGTATGCTCTGTGCATAGAAAAGAGAGTTTTTTTGTCGAATCTAGATGTTTTGAATTGAAAAATTGTATTGGCATTTTATCAAGGTATAATTTTAAAATTACATTTTGAATTAGCGTCCTCTTGCCCATCGTAGAAGAGCATCTGCCAGTATGTCCAAGTGAGCTTTAGTCTGAAAAAAAGTTTATTTTGATAACAGTGAAATAATTTTTTTAAGTTTTTATTTTATATTGTGATAATATTTCCGACCCAAAATAGCAGATATTAATTTGCTTTCAATTTGAAAATTAAATAGTTTTCGAAAAATAAAAACTGCAAAAAGTAATGTGAATAGTTCTGACATAAAATATATAATATGCTGTTTATTCTATAAACTTTGCACTACTAAACTTTACATTTTTATTACTATTATTAATTTAATATTATCAATGTATACATTATGATGTTCTATGCGTATAATTAAGATTAATATAAATTAAATATAATTTGCACAAGAACATACACATTGGTAATAAAATATTGAAATTTTTAATTGAATTAAGTTGGATTGTCATGAAAATAAAATTTATTTTTTATTAAATTAACTTATAATTTTATTTGATGGATACGTAGAAAAGGAAGTACTTCCGGAAAGATTTGTATTCATAAGATTATTAATGAAACAATTAAAATTTTTAGGCTTATTAGTTTTACTATAATTGTATTATATATTGAGTGTTCATTCATTCATTCATTATGTAAAATGTAATTATTCAATGTTTATTGACGAAATAATAAAGTAATATGTCATTATTCTTCATTAAGATTTTTATCATTTATATAATGCATATTCATGTATACGAGTAAACGCACAAATTTTAAAAATATATTTATGCTTTTACTGAATATTTTTGTAATAACAGTGATTTAATAATTTGCCTTTTGTTGAGCATATCCACACAGTTATAATAATTATTACATGACCAAGTTGATTAATGTGAAAGAATTTGAAAAACCCTCGAACCATTTATTCATTAAAAAAAAAAATATTTTTGGCCTTACTGTTTTGAAGAAGAAACAATTCTTTCTATCTTCGTCGTCGCCATTTGGACAGTCAATATATCCATCACATAGGACATGGTCATCTATGCATCTAAATCGTCCTTCCTTGTCCGGCGAAGGACAAGCAAAACGTTCGAATCCATCTTCAGTGGGCGGACATTCTGTAATTACAATCATAATGAAATATTTCCCTTTCTTTTTAATTACATTCTAACGTTAATTATTTTTTAAGTGTACACAGCACGAGTCTTAAAAATCGCATGGCGCATAAATATTAAGAGCACTATATTAGATTTTTAATTTATTTCTTCGGTTATTATAATATAAAGCTCTTGAGAACTTGTATATAAGGTGTATTTATACACACGTGGTATTAAAATCAAATAAATAAACTTTTCAGTGTAAGAAGGGTAATTTTTTTTATTCTTGTCTTACTTTTTTTTTTTTTTATCTTCCCAAGGGAAATGTTGTTGGTAGATACTTCTTTATTCCTTAAGGTAAAAACTAAGTTGACACATGAATGTAATACTCCTTTCATAAAAAACTCACTAATTTATAGCAGCTAGTGTAAGTTAACATTATTTTCAAGTTCGAAAACAACTACTATTGTATTGATATATTTTTGCGAGAGTTGAAAGTTATTCTCAGTTTGAATGTAATTATTTTTCATATGGAAAAAAATAAATGTAGTGTAATGAAATTCAATTTTAAACGTATTTATACTTTATAAGTCATAGAACAAAATTAAATAACTATCAATACGCTTAGATTGTATTTTATTTTAATATATATTTGAAGTCGTTAAATGTACAAGTAAAAATTTAAATTGTTTTGAATAATAAATAAACGCCTACTCGTATGTACTACTACGATAGGTAGTTTTATCATTAAATTCTTTTTTAAAAAGTAATACTTTTAATACATAATTTATTAGAGCATGTTGTTTATTTTTTTAAAAAAAAATGTAACCAACACTGTTTTCTACTACTCGACAGTCACATAAAAAAAAAAAGTGTGTAAACTAGTAGATCTCAAATTACAAAAAAAAAAAATAAATATTATTTCATGATTGCGAATGATAATTATTGATGGGAAATTGTAAAATTTTAAATATTAAATGGCTTTTGATTCAATCTAATACTGGATAAAAAATCAAACAAATAATTCTTATGTTTGAACGAACGTTTTTAACAAAATGTGATAGAAATCTCAAACGTCAATTGTGTTGCGATGGGGGCCGGTAGGACGGAAAAGAATTAAGACCTCACAAAAAGACAAGTGCAGGCAACAAACGATTACATTCTATAAGCCTTATAACGGATACTATCATTAACGCTTACTTTAGACTAAACGTTTAGTAATGGTTCCGAAGCAATTATACTTCCTTGGAGATTACTGTGTGCTCTTTAATGTTTTACTACCGTAAACACAAGACGAAAACTCTCATTTTCGTTTATTTACAAAGATTAAATTAATTGTATTTTATCCTTAATTTATAAAGTAAGATTAGGGATATGAATTAAATTAATTTTACGTTAGTTTTTATTTTTTTTCTCATACTTTAAATTAATTTTTTGATGACTATTCGAATAGAAAATATATTAAACAGTTAGAGGTTTTGTAATATGAATGTTTATAGTTGTAACAGTGTAATTAACACCAATGTGTTTAAAACCATTGTTAGTAATCCTATATAAATGTATAAGATATAAAAAAAAAAAAAAACGTTGATTCTTATTTTTTGTTTACTTCTACACAAATATTTATTGATTTATTACAAAAAATTATAATAAATTACACTAAATTTCTGAATCAAAAAAAAAATAATAATACTAAAAATTTACACAAATGATTAACTTTAAAAGTTAGAATTCATTAAATGACTAGTTCGATTATGTAGATTTTATTGTTGTTAAAAATTGAAATGAGTATCGATTTATGTCAGAATTCAATAAACTATGCATTGCTAACTTTAAATGTACAAGTATTGATAAGATTCTAGTGATATGATTAGTTGTATTTAGGAAGTAGGTAAATATTTTTAGTTATGAGTCTAATCAAGAAATAAACTAATTATAATAATGCAAATTTCAATGTAATTAATTTGTATGCTTTAAATAAACAGTATTAAAAATATATCGATTTCTAAAATATTAAATATTATTCATAAGTTTTATACTAGTATTTGAAAATGTTTTTAGTTATACTCATTATGGTTATTTAATTTTATACTTGATAATATTCAAAGGAAGGAAATTACTTTTATATTTTTAAGATTATACATTTTATCCTTAGTTATATTTTTCAAATTTGTAGTAATTTTAGTGATGTTATGAAGGAATATGAACGCATTTAAGTAGGGTTTAAGTATGCGGTATTCTAAGTATTGTCTTTGATTTTATAAAGTGTATAGAACAACAGTGAGTTGAGCCTTTAAATTTTTCATACTAAAGGTAGGATAATGCGTACATCTTATCAAAGCTTATAGTCCCCATAAATGTGCCGGATTTTCCCTTAGGGTTTAGCTTACCATAATACCAGGTACATACCGAGATTTTCTATGTTTTTTTTTTTCATCTGAATAGTAAATACCGTTATGTTAATCGTAAATAAATACGTATATACCTTTTAACCTGCAAAAATATAACTCGTGGTGGGTGGTAACTGGTAAGTACATAACATAATCTTTTTCCTGTAACCCCGTTAGCATTTGATTATACTCTGTTGTTGAGCCCATAATTCTATTCAAAATGTAAAATAATCGAATTTTAAAACAAAATGTTCTCTCTCGGAAAATAATACAAAAATAATAATTTAAAGTTAAAATAACGTACACGACGATTTAAACAGATACCAGAATGTTTTATGGCAGTTAACTTTGATTAGATTGATTAGCTGTAGAGATTAAAATCTTGCGTTAGGTACTCATATGTGATATGTTACCGCAATGATGTTGAAAGTCGAATAAAAATGCTTTATATGATTATAATTACCGGGTTAGCGGATTTGCGCATATATCATGTACAATAGAATCCACTACAATAAGACGGGTCATCATAATTCCTCATTTCCTCCGAAATGGAATAGTTATACATTTGATAAATGTTTCATCAACGGCTGCATTCGAATTGAGTCTCAAATTTAAAATGATTTTTATAGGTACTACACTAGTTGTTAACATTTTTAATATTTTTTTATTCACCTATATGGCTATAATTATATTGTATGATATGTATTTTTATACTTGATTTTTAACATTTTTAATATTTTTACCAACACAATTCTAATAATTTATATTTTAATGGAAAAGAAACTAAAAAACAAAAAAAAAATTATAAAAAACATTTTTAACCATACTTGTGGTCTAAATAAATCAACAGTCCTAAGTCTGTTAAAATGGAAAGGAAAATGTTAGTATAATGTAGTACTTACCAAAAATATTCAGGAACTAGTGTAGGTAATACCTAAAATAATTCAGGACCCAACTAGTGTAGTACCTAAAAAAATCCGGGATCCAACTAGTGTAGTACCTATAAAAATCCGGGACCGAACTAGTACACTACCTGCGATTAGCCCCTAGTACTCGGGACCCAACTCGGATGCTCTGCCATCAAAATTGATAGTACTGTAAATACCTATAACGGTAAACTCTAAACCTGAAATGCAAATGATATGGTGCGCACACATACATTCAATATACATTATGCGTTTCGAGTTTGGTCATAGGAATCTATGAAGTTTGAGTATTACACGCGCATGAGTGTGAGTATTATACTTTACGCACATCCAGTGGCGTACAAAAAAGTTATTAATAAACGCAGTGAGCAATTGCACCGGTAATCTAAGGGTGTGGACGGGGAGGCGGAAATGCCATCATAGTTGTAGCTGTCACTGTTTTACGGAAATGGTTTATGCATTGGTCGCCACCGTATACGTGTATAGATTTGCATTTTGTATTGGTCTGTAACATTTGTTCGAAGTTGATTGTCGTACACGTGGGAGTTACTCGCTTGGAAACGCGTATCGGTTAACTGCTCGTCGAAACACACGATGTATGGGTTTTTTGGTTCGGAATTAAAATGTAATTGTTACGAGAATATAAAATCAACCGCATTCGGACGGTCATCGGTGACCGGTAACCGTGTGTTCGTAGTACGGTATTTGTTCATGTTTCAACGCTCGTAAGATTACCGTTGGGTACATAACAATGGTCACGAGAGGATTAAGAGCAAAATTCATCAACTAATCAAATCGCTCTTAAATCAAAAATATCTTATCACTGTCTAATCATGCGCGCTTTTAGTTTTTAAGTATGAAAAATTAATAATGAATGGGTTAATGAAATCAAATGATTATTCAATCGAGGATTGTACTGCTATCAAGAAGAAAGTTGATTCATTCCTGGATATTTTACGAACAAATAAAAGAAAGCTGATTGATATTAACAATCCTGAACCTCCTAATAAAACAATTAAGAAACAGTTTTGATTTGTAACGAAAAAAAATCATCGTCATTCTGAACTTTAGTATATGAACACTGAACATGAGAGAAACGAAATAAAACAAATTTTTAAAACGCATCCAGCCGCCGATGTTGAATGTAATATATTAAACATTCATAAAATTCTAATGACCATTTATACTAAACTAGTAATTCTTTACCAGTTATAGGAATGTATATTGTATTTTCATACTATTCTTATTATTATTAGTTCATAAGTGTTATTAGTTTATTTTTTAAGTCAATAATTAAAGATAAACAGGAAAAAAAACTATTTACTTGATTGTATTTAGATTGGTTATTATAAATTACCTATTAGAGAAGTGATATTAGATATATTTTTTTTAATTTGAATCAATCTTTTTCAATCCCCGTATTATGTTTATTTAAAAGTTATTATAAATATTTAGAATAATCTATATATATAAAAATTTCGTGTCACGATGTATGTTCGCGATAATCTCCGAAACTACTAGACCGATTTTGATGAAATTTTTTACACCGTGTGTAATTTAGTCCAACTTAAAATATAGGATAATTTTTTTTCAAATTTTTTAATATTTTAAATATTTTAATTAACTTTTTAATAAATGTGTATAATTGCATGGTGTATTTCGGTGTATTTCTATCACCGGAAACATCGATGAAAATTTAAACGCCAATGACATCGGAACTGCATGTATTTTACCTTCAAGCTACATCGGCAGTCCACGGAGCATGCAGCAATACATACAAGATGCGATGACTTATGTACGTCATTACGGTCGACCTGATTTGTTTGTTACATTTACGTGTAATCCAAATTGGGAAGAAATAAAAAGTTTGTTATTACCAGGCCAATGAGATGATTTCGGCCAATTGCCGATGAGATCAACGCATGCTTAAAACAATCGTTTTTATGGACAAGTGTTGAGACACTTCGATTGACTATGAATATACGAGTACAATTGCAAAATGATCCAACAGCACAAGTATTTTCTAAACAATTGCTGGATATTGGAAATGGTGAAATTGAGTTGCATCAAAATACACAATACATAAAATTACCAGATATTTTCTGCACTGTTGTTGAAACGAGAAATGAACTAATTGAGAGTGTCTTTCTGGATATATTGAATTATTATTTAGATCACAATTGGCTCTGTAATCGTGCTATTTTGGCAGCAAGAAATGTTGATGTGAACGAAATTAACTTCCATATACAACAGATTTTGCCCGGTGATTTGATGTCTTTTAAATCAATCGACACAGTTATTGATGAAAACGAAATCGTAAACTTTCCAACTGAATTTTTGAATTCTCTGGATTTGCCAGGAATGCCACCACACAACCTTCAATTGAAAATTGGTTCACCAATTATTCTTCTACGTAATTTAAACCCACCTCAATTATGTAACGGTACACGTTTAGTCATAAAAAAAATGACCGAAAATATTCTTGAAGCAACAATTTTGTCGGGAAAATTTAAAGGAGATATCGTCCTGTTGCCACGTATTCCACTGATAGCGTCGGAATCTTCAATACCGTTTAAAAGGCTCCAATTTCCGATTTGTTTAGCTTTTGCGATGACTATAAATAAATCTCAAGGCCAAACAATGTCTATTTGCAGTTTGGATTTGGAAAACACATGTTTCTCACATGGACAGCTATATGTTGCCTGCTCACGTGTAGGAAAATCATCAAATCTCTTCGTGTTAGCGAAAGACAGGTTAACCAGGAATGTTGTATACAAAGTAGTACTTAGATAATTTTTAGTTTTAATAATTTAATTTATTTTTGTATGTTTTTAATGTATATAGTATTTTTTGTAAGTAGGTCACTGATTACAAACAATAATTTAATATAAGATGAATAAAATGTAAATTCAGAAAATATATATTTTGGTTTGTACTTAATTTCAACTTTTAGATACTTTACCTATTACTTTTAAATTTTCTCATACATAATAACACTAATACATGACCTACGAAAATGCCAAAAAACCAACTAATACGCGGGCAACGCCGTGTCGGGACAGCTAGTAAATATATATAATTAAATATTTAATTTTTGTATTTTTAAAATATTTAATTAAATAATTTAAAATATATAAATTAAAATTTTAATCCGGTTTTGTTCAGATAAAATAAACACAATTATATAAATATGTTCAAATGCAAATGCATAGTTCATACTTAAAAACTAAAAGCGCGCTTGGTAAAAAAAGTGATCAGATATGTTCGATTTATGAGCGATCTGATTGGTCGATGGATTTTTCTCTGGATCCTCTCGTCAATAAGTCACCGATGCACAACGATTGTAATAATATTCCATATATTACACGATTCCGTACTGCTGCGTGTATTGCGGCTCGTACCGTTCTCAGTTAGACGTTGCGGTTAGGCAGTGTAAAAGGGTTAGAAAATTTATGTTTAGATTAGTAAAATGTGTCGCCCGAATGTTTTCCGAGCACATCACGTCAGAAGATCGGCGAAAATTCGGGACGTCCGTTTAGAATAATACGTTCACGTTGTGATGCGAGTGTGCCACAGGTGCTGTATGCGGACGGGTTGAGTTCACCGTGTGAGTGACACAAGATATGAACGTGTGCAACGTAAAAAACACGTCGTACACGCGCGACATTTCATTAAACAGGTATTGATGTACAGGTCGAATATCGTTGTTCACCATCGTGATGTTGGGTGTTTAAACCGCATGTAAATCGGTGTACGGTTTCGTTTGATAAATGTATCTATTTTTTTTCTTCATCCCGTTATTTATCCCCGTGTCCGTGTCTGTGCGCTAATGTTCCATTCAAATTTCACCATATTGTTATTGTTATCTCAGGGTTGTATTTCTTGCATGACTTCTTGAATTATTAATGTCGTGATCATCGAGGACGAATGATGGAGACGTGTAACCGCAATCACCGCCTCTACTACCACCACCACCACCACCACCACCACCACTGGCTCTTATTTCGAGATAAAAACGGATTCGAATAAAAACGGAAATACGTTATATACCAGGAAAACCATTTCTTTTTGTGCGGGGGTGAGACACTTGTCCAATTTATATATATATATATTATTTTATCATTCAGTATTATTAATGGTTGAATGTCTTAGTGAAATTAGGAATTTATTGGTTATAAAACTATACTTTTTTTTTTTTTAGTTTTCGCATTTAATCAATTTTTCGAGTTGCTAGGAATTCTGTAAAAGTTTTATACAACACTTCAATAAATTGAACAGATAACATAAATGGAACTTTGGAAGGTTATTTTGGAATTTACAATTATTTTACCAGAAAATCACAGAAAAATCTCAAATATATTTGAAGTACGAAGAGAAATATAGGTTCGCATCTGCTAGCAATATTTTTCTTATTTAAATTCTAGTCTTTTTTTTCTTAACAACCAATAAACTTTATTTTAAAATATACCTTTTTTTAATTTACTTTTTAGATTACTATTTACAATGATACTTGTTAAATATTTTTATAACACTTAAGAAAACTATTGGAAAGTTGAAAAATGACGTCTTTACCAAGTACTTTTTATGTCCAATTTCCGATTAAAAAAGTGACTATATTTTTTGCCGTAAGGAAAAAAAATAATAATAGCGAAAAAAATATTTTCAGTACTATATAAAAATACAATATATTTCTCGTTCTATTTAAATATTTAAAAAAGATTGCTTATTGAGTTTAAAATCTGAAAATATTGTAAAATATTTTATATAAAAACGGCATTTTTATTATATATTACAACAAAAAAACAAAATAAATGCCCTATTTGTTAGACAATTAAAAAAATTAATTAAATTTATGCTGTCAAAATGTAATTTATATTTAAATAAGGAACAAGTAAAATTCTTATATATTTATATAATATATAAAATAAAAATATTTTAAAAAGTTATTCAATTTTTAATACTATTTTTCAATAATTTGTGCATACAGTTTGTTTTGTTAATTATTATCATAAGGGAAACTTAAATTTTTTTATTAAATTATTTTATATTAAAAAAAAATCAGTACAATATAATTTATTAAATTTAAGAAATAAATTTGTTGACTTTGTAGGTTTGAAATTTTTTATAAAATTACTATATGATGCAATAAATTATATTTTATTTATTTAATATTATTTAACATTTTGTTAATCGATGGTGTTAAAGAAATGTATAAAAATTAATTTTAAAAATTTAGAGACCAATATTTTTTAGTGTACTTATTTTTATTATCCTTTCATTTATTTTTTTATGTTTATTTAAAATTATTTCAAGTTTGAAACGTATATTATTTCTAAAAAGGTCAATTTTTTACTGTTAATTTTATTTTGTAACATATATAAAAGTATGTAATAAAATTATCTAATTCAAGTAAACGGTAATAAATAATAGAAGTTCCATAAAATATGTTTTCATATTGTGATATACTCGTATTTTGTAGGTGGTTGATGGCAGAATAATATTATTATTACTAATATTATTTATATAAAACTATAAAATAAAAAATAGTGACAGAGCCGTTATATGATCAATAATTATGTTTATAATTTTAAAGATAACACGCCCGTGGACATTTTTTATTTATACACACACACACACACACACACACACACACACACACAAACGAAAAACACGTATAAAACGATTACCGTAATTACTATTAATTGTAACACGATTATATGGACTAATGAACATAAATGTTAATATAATTCGAAGAGTTAATTTGGTTTAATTACTTTTGGTAGGCAATGAACAAAGCACTCGATTATGAACTTAGTAAGAAAGTGTATTGTTAAAATATCTAATCGTGTTAAATAATTCAAAATCTAGTATCATTTGACACGAATTCACTTGTCAACGTTGGACGGAATTACTACAACCATTATGTCAACCTTAATTGGATTATATTCACTATACTCACATTGTAACGTCGTTATGTTTTAAATTGATAAAGTGTAAAACATCAAGTCATAATACTACTTTAGAATTAAAATACGGGGCTAGTTTATTCTTTAGTGGCTAGGAAAGGTAAAGTAGAGCTTAGTTTTACAGTTTCAAATGTAGTTTTATAAATTAAAATGCTTCTATATAATATACTTTTAAGAGTTATGTTACATTTTCATATAAATCTATTTTTATAATAAATATAATTAAATTCGAGAAGTGATAGTCTCCGTATGGATGTAGTTTCTTTTAAAATGTTAACTATAGTTATTCCAATCACTAGTAATTCTCAATACATTTTTTTGTAAAATGAGTGAATATTATTTGAATTAATAAATACAATGAATTATTGTAGTTCAATTCGTTACTACACTGGATTTAAATAATAGTAAAATAAAGATTTTACTTATTGTAAAACATTTTTAGTTTTGAGATTGATTTGAATTATAATTTATCTTTTACCATACTTTATAGTTTATCCTATATACTATACAAAGACATTGAAATAATGTTTTTTAAACCCTTTTTTATATTTATTATTTATTCGTTCTGTTTGTCTGATAAATATGGTAGTGAAGTTTACGAGCAATTCTCGTAAATAAAATGATACGTTGGCAAAGCTTCTGTTAGAATGTCTAGACGTTTTCAATTTGGTTTTTTTTTTGTAGTAATTTTATTTAAAATGTTCTTAAATCGACCATTTAAAGCTATTAACATGTCATTCATATACATGTTTATTTATAATATTACAACGGAATAGAATTCAGATCTAATATATTCTTAGTATTATTAAATTTTTTTAGTTATATATAATTTAACACTTATAACATTGTTCTAAATGGAAAACATTATATTTCTTGCGGAGAGGAGCAAAATTAAAGATAAATAAAAGTAATTAACTTTAAGGAACAATAATAATACATACATTATTTAAAAAAAATTAAGTGTAAGAAAAAAGTTTAAAGTTTCAAATGGAAGAAAACTTTTACTTTTATACAGTGTACAATATTTGCGTTTAAGAATGTTAATAAAAATGTTTAACATAGGTTATTTCTATATCTATATATGTTTTTTAAACTTGTAAATATACAAAGTTTTGTAATATTAATTAGTGGAATGTTTTGTCTTGTCAGTTCTAGTACTTAATATTTTAAAACGATTATCTGAATAATATAATTTAAAATCATATTCTAAGAAATTGGGATACAAATTATAAAATTATGTGTAGATAGGTAGTATAGATTATATTTTTTCAATTTTTTTATTAATAATTGAAACTAATATATTTAAACGTTTATTGTGTATTTTTTTGGGTATCTAAACTTGTTCGAAGGAAATATCTGAAATAAAATCTTATTTTTCTTAAATAAAAATAAATAATCTTTTTATTAATTTTATATTTAATTTTTTGATTTGATTTTATATACAAATTTAGAGTTCGATGATATTCGTTTAAATAAAGTTGAAACACAATTCTGAATTAACTTTGAAAATTATTTTATTTTAAACCTTTTTTAATTATTCTACATAAAAAATGTGATTAAACATAAAAGTATTGGAAGTTTATATTTATAATTTAACATTTAAAAATTAGATAAATTTAATATGAAAGAAATTGATTGATTTATGAACAATGTTTTTTGTTATTCAGTTTTATTTTTCAAAATATCTTTAAATTGTTAACATATAAAATGAAATTAAAATTTTATAATTGATTTAAATAAAATGTGTCTACGTTTTAAAGTGTATTACATTGTTATAAATCAAAGACATTGGTTTATGATTATTTTATTTATTTAACTTTTAAGTATGATCTTTTATTTATTATTTTATACCAGAAAGCTATAAAATTGATATCATAAATAATTTTCACTTCAGTATAATAATAATTTAACATAAAATTATTATTATAATTATTTAATAAAAAATTGATTTTCAAAATTAAAGAACACGTTTTAATTATTAGACGAATTGAATATAAAATTTCCGGGCAGGTATCTAACTAACCTAGTTAAATGATTAGATATTTTAGCGTACCTTTACTATTTTTTCCAAAAATATTACATGGTATGATACCTTTTTAATTTAAGTTCAGTTTATACAAAATTATAAAACGTTGATATTTTTATAAAAAATAAATCATTTACAAAATGTATTGGTATGGTATATCCACATACGTACAAAACTATATCTGTGGTTATACAACTGTGGGTATAACTTAGTAAGTATTAGTTTTTGATAATGTGCTACATGATAATAATCAATCACTAGTTTTTTTTTTTTTTTTTTTTGCGAAAAAGGGGGTTTTATGACGCCTTGATGATATAGGGAACATTTTATGGGTAGATTAGTGGATATGTAAAGATTTTGGTTAAATACATAAATATCAGATTTCCATGTTTAGAAATATTACAAACTAGAAAAACGAATGCTGTGGTATAGCGGTAGTCGATAAGAATATAAAGCAACAGTAAGATCAACATTTAGTATTTTTAGTTAATTATAATATAGAAGAGGGAAAAGTCTCTTAAAATTTGTTAATCCCAAGTTAGAGTAGATAAAATATAAGTTGGTAGGTTCTTCAATCTTTAATAGTTTTATTTTTCTTTAATTTATGTTTTTGAAATTATTTCAAGGATGATGTGCTAGAGAAAGAAGTGGGTGGATAGGTACTAAAATATATGTTATGTATCATGGTTTATAGATGTTCACCACGCCACTGCATACTATATTTATATATTGAGGTTATTGGTTCAAACTTTGAAAGTGAATATAGTAAGTTTTTGAATGTGGTAACATGTTTAAGGATATTATAAAGAGGTGAACCAGTGGTGTTCTTAGACCTTTTTATAGTGGGGAGGAGGTACTTCATACATATATTCACATTTATGTATTTTTCTAGTATGAAATAAATAATAAAAAATAAAAATTTTTAAAAAAAAAAGCCAAAAACTGCCTTATTCGCTCTTTTCCGCTGAAGCATCTCAAAGAGAACACGGCTATGTTCAGTTTTGAATTAGGTAGAGACGGAACATTTTCTTGTGTTTAATAATTACTTATAAAAGTACATAAACAATATCATGTAACTACTGTCTACTACTTTCTTTATCACTACTATCTCCACTCATACTAGCTTATTCAGAAAATAAATAATAATTGATATAATTTACAATGCATGTACTTTTTAAAAATTTTTTGCTAACATAGATTAGATTTATTCTAGATACTTCATTTTTAAGACAATATTTAAATAAACAATTTTGACGTAAGAGTTAACCTATAAGTCAGTGCCGTATTAAAAATTTGTAGGCCTCTAGGTAATTAAAATTTTGGGCCCTACAAAATTATTTTTTACATACCTACATCTTTAACATTATTATCCAATAATTAAAACAAACAGCTTTAATAATGACCAACTATTATTAATAAAAAAAATCATGTTTGTTAAATTTTTTTATTTGCAAGAACAATTAATTGATTATTATATTATTTCTATTTTTTTCAAAATAATTTTATTATTATTACTGCCTATAACACCTACAACTTAATATATATTATATTTCATAATGACTTTTGTCCCGTAAATTCGTAAATAAAAATATAGTTTTCTGTTTTCTCAGGGCCCTTTAAATGAGTGAGGCCCTAAGGCGGTTGCCTACTCCACCTAATGGGTAATCCGACACTGCTATAAGTACTATTGTTTTTCCAAGTTAAACATTGTTTATAGTGGCCTGTTAGTTATTTATCGTAGTATTGTTCACGTGATCAAATTATTGTAGAAAATTGTTTATTTAAATATTGTCTTAAAAATGAAATGTTTAGAATAAATCAAATCTCTTTTAGCAAGAAATTTTTAAAAATTACATGCATTATAAATTATATTAATTGTTATTTATTTTCTAAATAAGCCAGTATGAGTGGAGATAGTAGTGATAACGAAAGTAGTAGACAGCAGTTACATGATATTGTTTATATACTTTTATAAGTAATTTATAGTATACATGTTCTTTATTTATAAATTTCAATGATTTTTGTAAAGCAAAAATTAATTCAGATACAACAATAAAATTAATTCTAGAATCTTGGACATAATGGATAAATAATTTTCCAAACCACGGCGGAATTAACAAAAAAGCAAATTATGTATATTTATACTATATGTCATTAAAGATATAATAAAATTATATCTAAATAAAATTTAAAAATTTGCTTGATAAGTCGAAAGAAAAACATAAATACTATTTATACTTAAAAAATTAAGGTAAGTTATATTCTATTGTATTATACTTAAGTTATAAAATTATTACCGTATTTTTTAGAGGTACAGATTAAATTATTTAAAGTGTTTGAAATTTGTAAATACTGTTAAATATTATACTTTAAAACTGGGGATAAAAACAATATTAAATTTATAATTTTATTTTTATACCCATCGTTACGACATTTTAATTATGCTCTGCTTGTATTGATAAAGTTGTTTAGAAATATGAACTTCATAACGACAATTGTATATATGTATTTAAATGTGGGTCATACTGTTATATTTGACGAAAAACTAGGGGTTTTTAGGGGTAAACGAATTTAATGGCTTTGCGTGAATAACTTATGAATACCACGACTACCTGTTCAAGGGTTAAATAGCAGGATATAAATAGTCCATCGAAAATTAGTCTATATAACATCTATAAAGGGTTGATTATTGAAAACAGACTAATTATGGATTATGAAAAAATATTTTTGGCTTTATTCAATATTTCATTTTATTCAAACTTTTATTTCTGTGATTTAATATTTAATTTAAAATTTTCTCCGTATAATTTATGAAAATATTTCGCAAATTTGAATAGAAAACTTAATTTTCTTAAAAATTAATAATTGTTGGAATGCTTAATTTTAACAAAATAACTGATTATGTTTTAAAGTATTATAATTTGAAATAACAGTAATAAAATGTAGAAAATATTTAGTTATTTTAAATAGTGGGAATATATATTTTTAGGAAAATATCAAAGTTAATTTTTTTATACACACAACTAGCTTTCTAAATTTATTTTTATATTAAATCATTTTAATATATATGCGGTTAAAAATAAAAAAAATAATGTATGTATTTGAGTTGATAATTATATACAATAAAAATTTAAAAGTAACTAAAACATACAATTTTAAATTTTATATTATGTTTTTTAAACAAACCAAAACTAAAATATTTGAAAACTCTTCAATATTGCTTATCTTATTTTTACTAATTAACCATTTTTTATTTTTAATTCGTAATTTCTAATCTTCGATAGGACAGTATTAGTTATTATTCAACTTTGTTACAGTAAATCTAATAATGTTTTCTCATTCTCTTGCTGAGTTTAAAAACGTAAGAGAAAATTTAAAATGTATTTTATTGAATAATTAATTTTTTATGCTTAAGTAAAATCTCCATAGTATTAATATAATATATTCATTGATAATCTAAAAAAGTATATGGGTAAGAATACCACTATCCTAAATATCCCACTATTTTTACACCTCTAATAAATATTATGAATTGATAAACATTCTCAGAATTATTATTTCATATAAGTTATACTACAGTATAGTTATTTATTGATTTCAGCATAAAAATAGATTATATTTATTATTTATTCTTACGTAAATTTTATTTTTATTATATAAGAATCAACTAATTTAATGATAATCAGTTTGTTAAAAATACATAACATTTTTAAGAAAAACAACGCAAAGAGTTAAATTAATTGTATACTAAATTATTACTGAAACTGTTTCGCGATTAATGCTAAATATTTGTAAATAAATATTTTTTTTTCAATAGGGGAAGTAATATATTTTTTATGTTAAATAATAATACATATAAGTATGTCATAGTATATAAATAAATAATTTTTAAAATACTATACATTTCTGGAGTAATTGAACATCTAGAGTACATTTCTATGTTCGCATAGATTTTATGATTTATAATATATTAGATATTAATTGAAAAGGTAATAGTTGGAATTTAAATGATTGAAGTAATAATGCAAGTTACTCAAAAAGTGCAATGTAATCAAATTAATGAAGGGTTCATAATATTCTGCAAATACAAATTAGAAATTCACTATTCAATTTTTTTTATATTTTTTTTTTTTAAATATGTATAGTCTAAAAAATAAAACATAATTTAAAATACATATATCCGAGTAGTATATAAGTTATAATGGAAAAAATCGACATGCTTTCATTCAGAAAATGTTCTCTCTAAAGAGTGTATAGGCCAGTCTACTAACATTAATAAATTAATTACACATCAGAGCTACATTTTAAAACGTTCATTTCTAGTATATTTAATAAGAATTATGTACAAGGTTTTATGTTAATATCACTAGATAGCCTACACAATCAAACCGATTACCTGCGAGCATATCTTGATTCGGTTTAACGTCGACGTTTTGATAACTACCTAGAAACATTATATAGTACAATTAAAATATCTATATCCTTTAAATATTTTTATATATATTCGCTTGTTCATATTCATATTATTAAGATCAAGTAAATGTTTGGTTTTGTCATTAATTTTGTAAATAAATTGAAAATACATTTTTATTTATATTTATCGAATAATTTTTCGTTTTCATGTCAGGTATTATACTGGTAACTATAATTTAGTAAACTAGGCAAATTTATATAAACTTTAAAATATATATAGATTGATAAAATACTATAAAATGAAATAAAAAATATATTAATAAATAAAATTAAAATAATAAAATACGGCAGAGTAGGTGTTTTGGGTAAATTTTTTTATTTGTTCAGTACTGGACCACGTCCCTACCTATATAGTTGGCAGTAATTAAATATTCTTGCGTGTAAAGTCCTGGTACCAGTGGGTATACCAATAAGTGTGCCATCGTCTGGATTGTTTCACGCTGGCGAGAGGCATCCTTATCATTAAGGTATCCCCATTTTATCATTTTATCCTTAGATATTCCAACTCCTATTTTTAGTCGATTTAATGTCTTCCATACATGCCATTGTAGTTCGTACTCTGTAGGTAAGTGTTTCGCAGATTACTAACCAGCCTCTAATGTCTTTTGTTTTATCTTTCCATGCGTTTATTCTACTCTGAGAGGGATCATTTACTAAGGCACAAGAAACTCTAAGATAACATTTACTTGGTTTTAGTTGAGAGATTGTAGCCATCTTTTTGTAAATAGGATGTCTTATGTCGTTTTTCTGTTTTTTGTCTCACCAAGTTGGAGGAAATTAGTCGTCTGATTGGCGATGAAGCTACGCATGTCAATAAATATACTTTTTCAACAGGTGTGTTTTTTAGGCATCTTGTTACAATACGAAATGCATCATTTAGCATCTACTTTTTTTTTGCATATGTTGATCTTCCCCGTAATTCACATACATATTCCTTGACTGAAAAATCGAGGGACATTGCGGATACACGTAGGGTGTGAGGTCGTGCTTCCCATTTTGAAAGAACACGAAAGAAACTTCTTCATGGTGTACTCGAGGCAACAGTGGACTTATCAATCTATTGGCTAACTCTTTCACATCCAGTCTCATGCTCATGCTTATACTATGCAATCGAATACTTAAAAATAGTTTAAAATTTAGGTGTTAAAAATGGAGAGCAATTAAACTGATTAATTTAAAACTCTTTTTTATTAAAAATTCTAAATATTATAGATATTTAAAATATCTGATATGTAAATTGAAGGGTCCGGTGCAATAACCGGGTCTCTCCATTTTTTTTTTAAATTCAAGTTTTTGTATTTTCTGATTAAGAATAATTTTGTGAACATTTAAGTGCAATAACTGAGTACATCGGTTCATAAGATAATGTTTTATTATGTAATTGGAGATGCCTGGTAAGAGTGTTCAGTGTTCAGAGTATTAACAGGGGATCACCGGTGATACCCGAGTACTGCACCGAGATAAATGCAATACCTTATATAGAGTTATAAAGTTACACTGTTTTGTTTTATTGGTGGTTATATGTTCACCATAAATGTTTATTGATTCAACGTATGGAAAAAAATTAATTTCGGTGCAATAACCTTGTATTTCCATGTTTACTTATTTGTACTTATAAAATAATGTATTAAAGATAATCTAAAATGTAAATATATATACATGTATAGTTAGATCTTCATTTGAAGAATTCAATTATGTTTTTTAATAAGTATACATCCATCAGTTATTAAATTATTTGGTTATTTGCTTCTCCTGAATAATTTAAAAAAGTGGAGATACCTGTTTCTTGCACAGGATCTTTCAATTTTAAATTGATTTTTACAGCAAAAATATAAAAAAAAAAAAAAAAACGAGACGGCGTTTAGATTATGCAATATGGTTACATTACAGTCTTGAGATCTGTTATCTAGTATTTCTTTAAAAACGACAGGAGAAAATGTACTATATTACTGTTTGTAAAACCTAAAATATTTGTAAAGCTACTTAAATAAATTTTAATTAAGACAGTATGACGTTTATTGAATTGAATGAAGTGGATCAAAAATTATTTATATAGGAAATACATAACGTATAAATTATGAAATATACGAAAGATGGATGAATTTTCATTACAGAAAATGTTCAATGAATCTATTAAAACTTACACTAACTCAAAAAGTAAAATTTCAATTTCAATATTCTTTCAATAGAAAGGTATACAATTTTGAACGACAAACTGAACGTTTGAAGTGCCTACCTAAGATCTTAATTTGTTTTGGATGGACACAAAGCTAAGTATGGATGTGTTAAAATTACGTGAACCCGTGGTTAAATGTTAAAACATGACATTTATTTTTGGAGCGATTATAATCGTGTTATAAAATCGATTATAATGATGTTTCCTTTCTGGAAAAAAACAACGGAATTCCTTACGAGTATAATATTTTGAACATTAATATCCAAGAAAGATGTATACCCATTTATGAAAGTACAATTTCTATTAAATTTAACAAAATATTGTTTTGCACAACAATGTATAATTAATTATTTAGTATTTTAGATTTTGTTTAAACATACTAATTTAATTATATTCACTTATATATTATAAAATAGTTTCTAGTCTCTTTTTTTTTTTGCCTGTGTAATAGGAGATCAGTATTCAACTAGAATTAAATAGTGGAATAAATGTCAAATAAAACTGATATTTTTAAGATGTGTAAGTTGTCGTGTATATTTTTTTCGTGTAAGGTATCAATATTGATGTATAAAAAATAAAAAATTACAGTATTTATTAACTTTTTTGTGCTGAAAATATAACCTTTATATTGATGTATTTAATTTGTTTTACACTATTATTTATAAAATGATGAAATATGCATCTGAATAAGAACCCATTCAACTACGAGTATAATTTACTTTTATTAACATATCATTAGACATGACATTTTTAGTAGTAAACAAGCGATTAAATAATTTTAAATAATTCATATATTTCTAAATATAATGTTTTTGTCTTTTAAAATACGTAAATGTTAGGTTTAAATTATAGTCAATGTATAAAAATATTTTTCGAGTAATAAAAACTTGATGATATTCAAAATATTCTGTTTACATGAGATGAAAAAAAGATAAACTATCCTGAAGAACAATCTATAGTGTTTTTGATAGAACTGAAATGAGATTTATATATATATGTGGTAGTTTAATTTTACATATTGATTTTTGTTATTTCATAAAATGTACAAAAAGATAATTTGATAATTTTTTTTTATGAAACGGATTTATAGTTTATCTAGTTTAAAGATATTTATTTGTATTGTGCTTACAAAATATCCGATTTACAACAAGAATAATTTCAAAACGTAGGTTTTCATAGTATGAAAATGATTATTTCGATAAATTGACACGGACACATGGCATACATTTCTGAATTTCTCTATATCTACTTAAATTATTCCGAAAAACATTTTAAGCAACCATAAGATAAAAGGAGTAACTGAAAAGGTTTTATAACTCGTTATACACGTTATAAATAAAAATGTGCATTATTATCTTGCCGAAAAATATGTTTATAATAATTTTGACTTAATGAAGAATATTGTTTTAAGTAAGTACTGAATTTAAGACGATTATTTTATTTTATATAATCTCAAAAAGATTATTTTAAAGTGTTTTAAGAAAGTTGAGCGAGAAAGGATAATGTCCTGAGGTAAGTATTTTTAGGAATTATTTCGAAGTGTATACACTTATATTTTTAAAGTTTGCTAAATGTTCAAAATTAAGAAATTTATTATGGGTATTGTCCTAGTTTACTTATCATATGATCCAAGAGAAGAAGAGAAATTAAATAATGTTAAAAACTATTACTATAACTATTTTAAAACTATTATTATAACTTAACTACCTAGTAAATTTAAAATATTTTAAGACTTTTTAATATTCCATTAATGAATATGATTTTACACCCACAAAAGATTCGACAGTTCAAAAAGTTAATCAATTTTTGAATGTATAAACAGTAGTTTTTTAAGAAATACAATTTATTTGTACCAATTTATAATGGTTATAAATCATATTAACGATTAATTTTAATCAATTATTGTTACATGTGTAATATATTAAATATTTGATTACCATGAACAAAATTGAATGACACGAGCTCATGATAAATAATAAATATAAAATCTGTTGATTGGGAATACCAAATTAAATAACTTAGAATAACCTATAATTTATGATATTGTCAAGATACCTGTCTGTGTAATATTATATGTTAATTTTTATAGGTTATGATTAACTTAAAAAAAATTATCAAACAAATGTAATATCATTTGTAGAATATACTATAATTATGAACAATTGATTTTGAATAGTCAAACATATTACAAGATGTGAGGGATGGAATGGAATTTAGTATATTTTTAACTCGATATTTATAGTTTTATTTTGTTCGTTTAATAAAATTTCTTAAGTACATTCAAGAGTGTTTTCTCATTCTTCTTTTGAGTTTATGAACGTGATAGAAGATGTAAAAACCTTTGATTTCTTCAAACATAGTAAAATAGTACTTACATTTATAAGATGCCCAAAATTTGTTGAAATAAAGTAACTTGATAAAAAAAAATACTGTATGATTTGTTTCCACAAATAAGCTAGTATAGCTATATTATTTGTTAACATTTGAAAGTAAGGATGTCACCTTTTCGAGAAAAAAATTCAAAGTGAATGTATTTTTGTATTTTTGAAAATTATTCTACGTGAATTTTCATTTTCAACGAATAAAATATTTTTAGTTCAAATTTATTTTCGGAAAAAATGTATCAAAGTATACTTACCACAATTAACATAATATAATTTAAATTAGAAAGTAACATTAAATAATATTTTAATAATAATAATAATAACGACAATTCCTTGCAAAAAACGAAGTTCACTGAATACTACGTTTATCGTTGTTTATTGACTTTATTTTTATTTATTTTATAATTGTTT